AGCCTCTTTGTTATCCAGATAAGGAAACGGAGGCCCAAAGCAGTTAAGTAAGTTGCCCAAAGTCACAAAGGTAGAAAGAGGCAGAGCCTCTTTATCATGAACTAGTGATGTGATTGCAAAATGATATTGGTTGGGTTTTTAGTCATGTATCTAGGACTGTTACCAGCCAACATCTCCCCCTTCCCCTTTAACTGCTTTTTATTTCACCCTCAATCATGGCACTGATCGGGACTTTTAAGACTTCAGAAATTCTGTGGGAAAAAATTTTATCCTTTATTTCTCATTTCCTTTTTTTGAAGGAGTAGCACTCTCTCCCATACATATACATATGTATTTGTGAATATGTGTATATAAATACCCAGTGAACACCCACAGATGAAACATCTGTGTTCTTGTTTCCTTACAAGGGTCAAATGAGAGCAACTCAGAAATGAGACAGCAGCTCTTCCCAGTTATCATCTTTCACCTTCGTGGAGACCCCATTATTACTAAACAAGTCGTGATCATGTAGAAAAATGCACAGTACCTTCCTAAAGACTTCCAGTGGTCCATGTGCAGTGGTGGTGTATTTAATCTCACACTTCCTTATGTTCTCCATTTAGGGACCATATTTGTAAACTCATCTCATTAAAAGCTTGTAATTAATCTCATGGCTGGCATGTCCAGTTTTTCATTGAACCATTAGTGTGTCTTTTGCCCCAATATGACAGTTGGATGTCACTTATTGAAAATTTGGTTTTAATGGGCTAATGATATGACACCAATGGTTTTTCCCCCCAAAACACTGTTTATGACATGCACTTGTTTTTAGTTGAAACTGAGTGTTCTAGTCCACATTTAGTCCTATAACATTAAGTGTCTGACAGACAGTACTGGCTCTCTCCTCAGATTCTCCATAAAGGGGCTCCTTTGGAGCTAGACACTACTGTTTAGGGGGGTGAGGTAGGAATCTAGTTTTCACTTTTTTTTTTTTTAGGCAATTGGAGTTAAGTGACTCTCCCAGGGTCATACAGCTAGTAAGTGTCAAGTGTTTGGTCTGAGGTCGGATTTGAACTCAGGTCCTCCTGACCTCAGGGCCGGTGCTCTATCCACTGTGCCACCTAGCTGCCCCTAGTTTTTACTTTTTTAATTGAAGTCTGAGTCTTTGTAATTATTGAACTGTGAGAACATTTTTGAACAATTTACTTGTCAAT